GTTTGGCTCAAGATTGTGGGAAAAAGGGGCGGCTGCTGTGTTCTTTTTATATATAATACACTCCAGAGTTGCTTGCGCTTTTCATCTGGAACAAACATGACCATCAAGTTCCTTGCCTCTGCCTCTTTCTGATCGGCTCTGATCAACAAAGCTTAATAAACAGCTTCCTGCAGAGCCAAGAAAGAGCACAACGCACAAAGTCACGAAAGCACAAAGTTTCAACAGCTTGAACCGAAGTGCACTTTTCAGAGTACACAAACGCAGCAGGCAGCTAGGAGTTGGGCGACGCTACTTCGGCTTTGAAGACCTCAATAGAAGACCCACTATCAGAGAAAGCCATTGTTTGGCAAAGCTGCGGCATGTGGGAGATTTCACAGAGCAAAGGTCAGGCTTGTGTCGCAAAGCGTGCATATCTATCATGCCTCAAGCTGTCAAGAGTTTGCCAGGTCTTGTAGGCCACTCCGGCTACTCAACCAAGTGCCTTCCCATTTATCTTTGTAGGTTGAACATGTCTGCGCTGCCAGCCAATGGCCTTGAGGCAGATTGCGTTGTGTATTTCAAGCTACGACCTGATATTCCCTGATGTATCTCCAAAACACTGCCCTGGTCTGACCCTGCAGGATGATGACGAGGTACTGAGCGAGTACGGTGACGATGACGGGTTGCAATGGCACAGAACTTATGACCCACACCGAAGTGTCAATGACTTAAGTTTTCCCAAACCCAAATTTCAATTTAACACATCAATCATGCAGGTGCTTCTTCAAGGAAGCTCCCCCTGGCCGGGGGAGCTTCCTTGATGAAGCCTGAGCAGAGAGTGTGCCCTAGGTAGTAGCTCCTTAATAGCAGCTAGCTTCTTACAACTTCATACTCCTAGTACTTTCTTAGCTACTTCTTGGCATCCTCACGGCCTGGGCCTAACCCCACCCAAAACAGAAAAGAGATGTAGAGATGTGCTGAGAACATACCTGAAGTCGCTAGCACAACAGTGTTTGCACACTGAGGTATCAATCTGCCGCTGCGGGCCCGGATGATGCTGACGAGGACTTTCTGTGGAAGGAAACACTAAACCGTCAGCATTCAGATTCCGCATGTCCGAAAAAGGCAACTGGCGCCGTTGAAGCAGAACAAGAACAGACTCAGGCAGGGAGCCAACCCGCATTCCGGTTTCCTTGTCAATTCTTGTGCATGTGAAGCCTGCCAGCTTCCCGCATGTCCAAGTTTTGTATCCACTAGCTCGGGGCAACACTCAAACGATGCGCTTTCACATCTTTCACCAAGATATCTTGGGAGGGTGCTTCCGAGATATACAGTAAGTAGCTGCAAAGGACAATATTCACAGTTTCTCCAGGCTCCACCTTCAAGTCGGAGATTCCGTGACTTTCCTACTTCTCCTCGTTTTCTTGTCCTGCAGAGTTTGGCTATATATACTCTTATACAGTTATATAATTATATATTGTACAGCTTTTTGGCTGAGAATGTTCTTCCCAGGGAGCAAGCAGTGGCTTGAAGTGCAAATGGCTAGCGGCTAGCTAATCTATCTACCGTGCTTTGATGGAGTCGGACTGATTAAGCCTGCCTAATGTCTGAACTTTTGAATTAGGAAATCCCAAATGCTTCACACGTAGACATGTAGAGAAATAGTATTTTAAGACTCTGAAGTGGGGGACTGAGGTTTTGATGCTCTATCAATCTCTACTGTATTGTGTACCAACTCCAGCTCTTTCTCGATCTTCAGCTTGTTGACAGCTGACAGTTGGAATTGGAGGTCAAGCGAGCCCAGTTTATTTACATTTTTAAATAGAGATCAAACTCTGTAGTAACAAGAAGCTACTAGGGGCTCCTGGCATCGCTACTAGGAGCAAGGACGCTACTAGGGGCTCCTGACCGTACTACTATACTAGGATCAAACTCTGTTGGGGAGAAAGCGATGGAAAAGCAGCACACCCAAGAGACAAAGCCCAGCCCAACAAGCTTCAAGCGTGTGCCACATGAAGCGGTGGATATGTTTTTGAAGCAGAACCCACGATGATATTAATATCATGAAGCGAAACTGAGGCAGCAGAGCAAAGCTTGGCAAACAAGGAGCAACAGATTATTTTTGTTGTTAGTCCTGAGGCTTCCTAATTAATAGCAAGGGCGGTCTTGAAATCGCAAGCCTAATGGCAAAGCTGCAATACCTGACAGCGGGCATCATCCGAAACAACTATGCCTTAGTACTGGTAGCCTTCATGGCCGGCAATGGTCGGTGCAGGTGGATGACAACCCTACCAATGACCCTTACATGCTGGTTGAGTTGCTTCCTCAGATCTTGCTGTGATGCTGCGAACCATCTAGCCAGTTTCCGATCATTATTGAACAACGGTAGTCCTCCTACAAGTATTCGGCCTTTGGCATCACAGCTTTTTGATTTTTTGAAACGCCAGCGTCCATGGTGATTGCCACTGCTGCTTACGTATAATGGCTTTGTTAATAGCTTTGCCAACATCTCAGGTCAGATCCGTACCAGCTGATTGATGAGGAGGTTCACAGTTACATGAAGCAGAATTGCAGTGCAGCAAATGCATTTTGTCACGAAGTTCCGAGGGAGGTAAACCGCAGATCTAGTTTGCTTTTTTGTTCTTTTCCTCAGTAGTTTTCTTGCAGGAAGCACAACCTGCAGCTGAGCCAGTTGTAGCGCCGGTAGAAACAGCAAGTGAACGTCAAAGTGCACTTCCTGATGAGACAAGTGCAGTCTGGTCCTTGGGCTTGACACTGGGTATCGTTTTGTAGCAGCTTTGCAGCAGGATTGCACAGTACGAGACTTTGTGGTTTCAGTTTCAATGATGCTGCTTGCTACGGCTTACCGGCTTAGCATGTTTTGTATGAAATCAGCTCTCCGCAGTTCTGTTTGAACCTTGGTTGCTCTTTACCTCTGTATGCTAGTATGCAGATCCGTGAAGTGCTGACATTAAGTTTAACCCCAGCTCACCTTGCTTCAGCATTATCTTTCAATGTTTGCTTTGTTCACTTTCCCTTTTGGATGACCTAGCATGTCAAACCAATTCTATGCCTAACGAGGTTCACAACCTTGATTCACCTCTCTTGATGCTTATCCCTGTGCAATTCTCAAACATATGTTTCTCTGAGATCTTGAATTGGCAAGGTCAATGTGGACGGCAAGAGACCAGCACCTGATGGTGTTCCAAAGCCATCAGCAGCCCCAAATCACCGGCCTTCAAAGGCTCAGAGGAGAACGTCGGATGGTGGCGAAGACACCGAACAAGGCGGAGCCTTTCCTGACTTCATGTCTCTTGGTGCCCCAAGACCCAAAGCCAAACTGGCGATTCCAGCATCTTTACCTCTGAAGCAGCTGGCCAAAGTTCTGCAAGTGCCGCCAGTGCCCGAGGCCATCGTCATGCTGCCACTTATGACCATGGTGTTTATTCACAAACTAGTTTACGTTGCTGCATAGCGATACAATACAAAAAGCATCAATCCTTCCTTTGGTTGGCCTCACGGCTCCGAGCTTTGCATTGTTTTCCCGGTCTATTGCAGTGTCTTGTTCAGGAAAAAGCTAAGCCATGGACGCCAACTTGGCTCTCAGAGGTTGGGGCAGCGTGGTGGAGTTTCCGAGACAAGAGAATGAACAATCAAGGATGCCAGGTAGATCCCAGAATATCCCAGAAGGGCTACTTGTGGGCGAAAGTTTCAAAATCAATAAAATAGACTATCGGCATTAGTATTAGGAATAATATGAGCCACCTCCAAAACATGCGAAGACCACTTTAGCAGAGAGGGATCGGTAGGTTTGTGCACAGCACCCTGTAGAAACGATACAGTCCACAGCAAAACCAACGACACGATTTTTTGTTAGAAATGTTTTGACCGCCCTTCATATATTGTGTATGTGTGTGCTGGCTGTGATGAGGCTGTGCGATGACCTGTGAGGTGATGAACGGTGAGGTGATGATGTTTGATGTGATGATTTTATGTGGTGAGTCGTGATGTGGAGAATTGCAGTGTGATTTACGTCGTGGTAAGATGATGCAATCTTTACTTATATATATATAGATACGTTTAAATCTTTATTTTCTACAAAGCTTCACTTTTAAATGCGTTTATTACTTTCCTCTGAAACTCTTCACTTTTTGACACCTTTCTCTGAGCATTTTGCATTGTGTGTGGCAGCCTACACTTTCTAAATACACTGTGAAACAAGGTCTCCGCTTGTCGAGACTTTCTCCTGGACATCTTACTGTTCGATACGTTTTCTAAGCAGGCGGGGCCCCACCATGGGGCCTTTGTATGTGTTTTCTCTAAGGAAGTGAAATTCAGAGGCAAACGGAAGGGTAGTCGACAGAAGGGTTTTGCAAAACATTGCAAAACCTATTCTACTAACTTCGTGGAAGGCCCGGGACATTCGTGGAACCCGGGCTATTCATCGACTTCTCGTGGAATAGTGCGCCAGTAGGAAAACTAACGGTAACAATCAGCCCAGCAACCTTTGCAGAACTTCGTGGAAAGTTGATGCACTACTTCGATTATTTTTTTGCCGACCTCCTTTTTCCACAGACCCTCCATCTAGCCTTCAGAAATGCTGCCTGAGAAAAGACCCCCCCTAAGAAACAGAGAGAGGACAAAACGAATAATAAGAACCAATTGAAAACAAAAAGCAAACAACAAATTAACCCTTTTTGTTCAGTTTTGTGTTTTTCACCAACGTATATAACGCGAAGGCTTCTCATTTCTCTGGGGCTCTGGGGGTAGAGCCTGGTTCACATGACGTTGCTTTCATGTTTGCAACCGTTTGGAACGGTCCACTGCCGTTTGCATGTGATCGATAAGGCCCTCACAACCGGGGAAGCTTTTGGAGGAGGTCCTGGATGGAAGGTTCTTGTGAAGTAGCGTAGAATTTTTGCTGCGCAGGTGCAGTAAAATACTATTTCCTGAGGTCAGCACTGGTCTTTTGGATCTGGGTGAAGCAATGTGTCCAAATCATTGACTACTCGTGGCGTTCACAGGGAGACAAGCCCTGGTTTAGCAAGGCCACGGGGGCACTCTTTGAGCTCACTCCGGGCTGGCATGAAGCCAGGCACACTCGGGATAATGCATACGGAATTGAGTCCGGTTTGCCAGCGGTTCTCAAGCAGGTACAAGTCTCTGCGTCCACAGACTCATCCACCCATGTTTCTAGCTCTAGCTTTGATGGCAGGCTAACGTCGAGAACTGGGCCGCTAGCCCCCTGCAAGCCAAAAAACTCAAAGACCAAAAGGCCCAATGACTCCAAGGGTTACACACACACAGCGCTTGAGAAGTTAGTTTAGTACGTATGGCATATGGTAAAGCGCTAGACAAAATCAGGCTGAGTAAAACATGCAGGTGTTCGAAGGTCCTCAAGGAGTTCCCACGTTCCAAGACCAAGTTCCAACGCTCGAGTGCCAAAGAAAAAACGCGAGAATGCAGACTCATCCTGCGACAGCCCGAGGACCTTTAAGACTCTATGAGCGTAAGGTGGTTGCAGCTCTTGGAATGAAACATAACAAGTAGACGAATGGAGGTCTCCATCCGTTTCCCCTCTAGCGACTTGCTGCAGCTTCACTGGACAAGATTTATCCTTCGAGGCCTTGCTGAAAGCCCAAAGACAACCTATGACTCCAAGCCTTACACATGCACACAAACGGTTTCAGAGCGACCAGATTCCACGCAAGCACGTGCATTGATGAAACATGTTTTTCCACAAATAATCGCATCATACCGCAACTCTAAATTTGCTCTTTGAGACCTTCTGCAACATTACTATACACTTATATGTAATCGTTATGCGCCTATGCACTGCAAATCGTTCTTTTGCAACTGCGTAGTCTTTTCAACTTGTGCCTTCTTATTCTTCTCCGCATATTTTCAGCCTGTGATGTGTAAGGAGGCAGAAGCCGAAACAGAAGTAGATCCCATGGCCTATGCCACGGAGATGGTGCTCTCCTTGACTTTGCAACGTCCCAACATTGGACACTGGCAACTTGTTTCCTGGCTGAGGTCCCAGAGCCACTTGCAGAGGACACTCTCTGAACAGCTTGCATCAAGGTAAAAGAGCAAAAAAAGAAGAAAAGAAAGTAGCGAAACGATCCAGTGCACAACTGAATTCTCAACCATAATTTGAAAACTGTCCATTTGATATCATTTGATCCTGGAAGGACTTGCGCAGTGAGGCCTTGGCACAAGCTGCACACTGCAGAAGGATTTGTACAAAGACAGTTCTCTTAATTTTACTGTGTTTTTTGATGGGTAGGTTTTTTCAACACCTTGAAAAAACATCGGCCAAAAACTAGTTCCCTTTGTGCTGGATTCCCAAGAGGTTCTCTCATGGGATGAGCGCTGTGTGGTTGTGAAGCAAGGGCAGGCGAGAGCATTCGAGTTAATCGAAGACTTTAATCCCAGAACAGCAACTGCGTGGGGACTTTTGGGATGCTTTCTACAGTGCTCAAATTGAGGGGAGGGTTCGCCTCTCAACATGAAGAAAAGATCGCTCATGGAAAGGCCAAGTAAGGCTCACTTACTTAAAGTGGATGCCGAGAGGTGCAGTCTTGACAGCACGGAATCACCTTGCACAGGGGCAAGTGATGCTTGCTGGTACCATTCCAGCACATCCACCTCTCCGTTCACCAGCTCCAGTGTTGTCAGAAACCAATAGCAGTACTGCTCTGAGCTTGATCAACGACTCTATGCGTGCCGGCGTGCCAGCCGTGTGTGCGCGCGTGCGTACGTATGCGCGTGCATGTGTGTGATCCTCGACAACGCAGCCCTCTCACATCATTTTTTTGAAGTTCTTTAGTAACGGCTTGTTCTCTATGCTCAAGCCGGGCTAAGATGAGGATAGGTGGTTGTTTTTTTGGATGTTTTTCACGAAAGCTAGCACCAGCTAGCTGGAGTTGTCCTTGCTTTAGCAAGTGAGGGGCTGGAATCCTCGGGATCGCCGCATCGCGTGAAAACTTCATATGTAGGGGGGGCCACGGGGCCCCCCCTGAAATGTAGAGGCCTACTTGTACAGGTTCCACTCCAGTGGCCTTTCTAGTGTGTCCATGCTTGACTGCCATAAGGCTCAAGAGGATAAGACTCTGCGCATAAAAGACACTAGCGGTCTGCACCTCAACCGTGTACGCCCTAGTCACTCTTTCAGTGGTAGCGGAGCAGTGATCCTGGAAGACCCAGGTGAGCTCCTTTCCTAGGCATAGACTTGCTTTTAGGCAAACGGCCATGGATTGGATTGACGACTGGGAAGAGCCTGATGCGGATGTGGCTTATGAGCCAGCAGCCTATGTGAATAGGCATGTGAGAAGAGAACCAGCAGCTATAGCAATGACAACACAGGTCACTACAAAGGTGCCCCCATCTTATGATGGAAAGACTTCATGGTTTTCCTACGAGGATGCCATAGACGATTGGTGTGATATCACCGAGCTGGAGGATGAGAAGAGAGGACCAGCATTAAGGAACAGATTAGAAGGAGAAGCAGCCGTATACAAACGTGTATTAGACAGAGATGCATTGAAAGCGAATGATCCACCAGGAGCTGGAGTAGAACACTTCAAACGAGTACTACGACCATATTTTGTGAAAGGATCAACCAATGTATTCCTGTATAGGTTTATGCAATTCGTGCGCTTCAATCGCGGATCAGCCGACATGATGAAGTGGATGACAAGATTTCAGATCTTACTCCAAAGGCTTATGAGCAGTTGGATGGACATTTTGGATCCAGTAACACAAGTACATCCTCAGGTACAAGCTCAGATGCAAGCTGATGCAGCGATGAATGGAGTAGCTCCAACAGCGGAAAGAGTTCAGGAAATCATGCAGAATGTCAATGGCAATCTGAGAATTCTTCATCAGAACGATTTTCCTTTAGGAGAAAATCTCATTGCCTTACTCATGCTGTCACTTGCGGATTTGTCTCAGGACCAGAGGAACACTTTGACCTCTTTGATGACTCATCGTGGTAGAGTCCTGCAGCAATACACCACAATAGAGTTGAGGACAGTTTTCATTGAGATGTTCTGCGCAACAAAGACTTCAGTAGACAATCCTCTGATGCAGCCAACAGGTGCTGGAGGTAGAAGATCATTCCTCGTGCTTGACGAAGGAGAACTCGATGGTACATATGGCTATTGGGCCGAAGATGAAGAAGATGGAACAGAAGGATTTCTAGATGCCCTGGACGATGTCTTTTGGGTATATGATGAACAGAATTTCTCTTGGTTCCAGAGGAGATTCCAAGGAAGAAGAGCCAGAAAAGGCAAAGGCAAAGGAAGAAGAAAAGGAAAAGGTAAAGGAAGATCAGGCCGCAGATTTTTCAGACCTCGTGGAAAAGGAAAAGGAAAGAGACGAGGTAAAGGCCATTATGCTGATGAGCAATCGACAACTTATCCAGATGAGTATTTTGAAGAGAATCCTTATGAGGACACTTGGGAGTCAAACCAAGTAGCATATGATGCTATTCTTGCCGAAGATATGAATGACTATCTTCAAGGAGAACATGAAGATGCCCATGACTTTTGGCAACAAATTGAAGAAGCATGGTTTTCCCACAAAGGAAAAGGAAAAGGCAAGAGAAAAGGCAAGAAAGGAAAAGGAAAAGATAAAGGAGATGGCAAACAAGATGCAAACTATGCAAATCAACAACAGCCACGTTCTTTGCCTGCACCTTCAAGATCTTCACAAGCATCAGGAAGCCACCAAGGTTTCTTTGCGCATTGTGTGACAACAGCAGCTGAAGTCCATGACAGTGAGGTGAACTTGCTGTCAGGCATGAAGACCTCATGTCAAGATGAAGCTGACTGTAAGGTCAACAATGGTGAGATGATCTTCGATGACATGAGTGCCCCTGTGAGGTACTCTTTGTCAAAGGAGATGCTCACAGATGCTCCTGATGGCTTTGCGCTTATGAGCGCTGAGGAAGAAGTGAAAGAGATGCAGGCTATTTCATTTTTGACTGAGAATCGCTTCCCGCCAACTATTGCAATCCTGGACATTGGATGCACTAGAGCTATGGGATCAAGGCGTGCAGTCGATTATTTTTGTAACTATGTCGACAATCATCCAGACTGTGGACTATGGTACTCTTTTGAGTCTACCAAGAGCAAGTTTTACTTTGCCAATTCTCAGAAGGCTTCTTGCTCTCAGAAACTGGTGATTTACATGTATGATCGTGCATGGACGATCCACAATACGGAGTTCGACATAGTTGAAGAAGGAGAAGTCCCTTTGCTTATGAGCTTGCCACAGATGAGGAACTTAGGCTTTGAACTCAGGCTGACACCTCAACATGCTTATCTGACATCAGTGCCTCTTGGTATCAAATTTTTGGAGTTGAAGGTTGCAGCCAGTACTCATCTTGTTTTGGACTTCCAAGATATTGCATGGTATCTGTCTGACGTGCGTTTGCAGGCTCGGCGCGAGAAGAGCTTTTACTCTCACTTCACTCACTATGAATATGGCCATATTTCTGTTGATCACAATAGTGATGAAGATGAAGCTGAGCATGCATATCCTGTGGTTGACTACTGGGAAGTAGATCTTCACAAGAGAGAACTGACACGTCGCCACAAGGATTACAGGAAGATTCTTTTCCCAGCAACTAAGTCCTGTCCTGTAGACACTGACTTGCTGGAAGACTTGCGACTGACAATCATCAAGAAGAAAGAAGGAGGAGAAGAGATCAAGAAGATAGATGATTGGCGCAAGGCAAAATGGAAGGACCTACAAATTGGCTATGAATGGCGGAACAATTTTTAAGTTCAAGCCAGATGCCAAAATTCCAGATCTAAAGATCAGGAAGTCTGGCATTGAGCACCGTGGCATTGGTGATCCCGATGCAGTGGTGCGCTCCTCCTCAGAGAAGGTTCCCATTGCAAAGGACAGGGAACCAGGCTTCTCTTCAGAGAAGGAAGGTGCACCATCCAGTGCCGCGGAAAAGCCCGTGCCGCCAAAGTTTCGGTATACTTCCAAGGGTTATGATCCATTTTGGAAAGGACACAAGTTGAAACCATCTGAGCCTTCACATGATTTAAAGGGTGATGATCTTGAGGAGTATACTCCTTCAGAACCACCTGAGAGGCCAGAAGGTGAACTTATAGAAATTCCTAAAGCATCAAAAGGACCATCAAGTGATAAACATGAACCACTTGAACCAGGTGATGGCGCTCTTGAGCCTAGGCGGATTTCAATCCCATTACCTGGTAGTGAAGTTGTTGCAATGACACCGGCATATAGGAAGATGTTGCAGAGACTGGAGGACAAGGTAGAACTTTACAAGCTTCATGTGAAGCACTACCATATGAGTCCTACTCAGTTTCGTAGGCGTGTTTCTATGTTGAAGCTTCCTGACTCTGTTTTAGAGAAGTATGAATCAGTTGTCAGGAACTGCCGTGTTTGTAACACTTCAGTGGCACCTCCGCCACGAGCCAGAGTCTCCGGTATTAGAGCTTCATGTTTTGGTGATGTTGTTTTTGCTGATCATTGTGAGGTTGAACTTCACAAGAACAAGTATATCATTCTACTTGTTCTTGATGGTGCCACAAATCTTCTCTGGGCTACGGCACAGAAAGACCTCATAGATCAAACCACCATCCAAGCATTGAGACAATGGTCTGATGAGAACAATTGTGTTCCGAAGGCCATCGTAGGAGACGAAGCCTTTTTCACAGATGCTTTTGTTGAATACTACAGGTTCCATGGTATACAACAATGTCCTTGTGGGCCAAGAACTCCTTGGCCGAACCGAGCAGAGACAGCTGTACGTTTGTTCAAACGTATGTGGCATGTTATGAAAGTAGATCTGGATGATCCACGTTTTCGTGGTATTACGGTCAGAGAAGTGGTCAAGAAAGTAGTGTGGGCAAGAAATTGTCAGTTGACTATCAGTGGTTATTCACCAATAGAGATAGCAACTGGAAGACGTCCACCAGATCTTTTTGACCTTGAGACGGCAAGCCCTGAGCAATTGTCAGCTAGTGCAGCCGCACAAGATGGTACAAATCTGGAACTACAACGTGTAGCTTTGAGAGCTCATCAAGAAGCACGACAAGCTCAGGACCTTCGAGCAGACCTTGCAAGAAGGACTATGCCAAGTGACGGTCCCTGTTTCCAAGGAGAGAAGGTTTTTATTTGGACTCAGGATTCATCAAAGTTCAAGGATAAAGGACGTTGGGTTCGTGCCACAGTACTTGGACAAGAAGGAGCTATGGTCCAAGCCAACACTGGTAAGGCAGTGGTACGTGTGAATCAGTCAAAGGTTAGACGAGATCACGATGAGTGGCGTGATGTTTCCATTCCGGCATTAGACGATGAGAATCCGGAGAACTTACGTGAAGATCACGAACTGTATGTTGATGCCGAATTTGG